CAAATGTTGATCTTCAAGTGAGCAGTTAACTTAGTAACTATCCCTTTTCATTTTTTAGTTTTCTATTTCATTCTTTATTTTGTTAACAAGGAGAAGAAACATGGCAATAGACTGACATCTATTATAATTATACTCCTTTGTTTAAAAGTGTAGTTAAAAGTTCTGTTGACTTATTAACTTCGGCACAATATATATATACGTCGTTTTTCTTATCATTTTATGACTCTAATCTGAGTTGAAAGCTTCTATATTATTAAATGAAAGAATGAGCTCTCAACTATTTAGACTCATATACAGGGATCGCAGATCTTCTGATTTTTTTGGAAAAGAAAAGAGCTACGAAAACTGTTGTTTTTTTTTGAGAAAATGTCATTTTTATAAAACCACACGGATTTTTCTTATAGAGATTTGAGAAAAATACCAGAGAGCGCGCGCCAAAGGGCTAACATTTTTCTTCTGAAGTGGACGTTTTTTCACTACAATTACCATCTTCAACATACATTGGGAGAAGGTGGTTTAAAGAATGATTCTTGATATCTTATGTTTTACTTAGATCCATTTGCTCAAGTTTGTTTTGTTAGTCAAAGTCAACAAACAGAAGTAATAGAAAAGACATTATGTCCAACTTGGGATCAGACATTAATTTTTACAAATATTGATATATTTGGAGAACCAGAAGAAATACAAATGGATCCACCCAGTGTTATTGTTGAAATATTTGATAAAGATCAATTCGTAAGTTGCATTCATATAATAATTTCTGCTATAGATTATTAGGAGAAGAGGCTCTCCCATTTAGTAAGAGAGAGGAAGGGCTGACTTCCTAATTCTACCTTCGCTTGTCCCGGAAGTCTCATTTTTATAGCTAACGGCTTAATTGTGTTAGACTATTTTATTGATTGTGCTGTGGATTTTGATTTTCAAATTGCGCACAGTGTCTTTGTTGTAAATGAATCTGTGATCTTTTATTATCACCAGTTATGAGTGATACACGTTGATGAATAGATTCACAAGTAATGCATTTATACAGATAAACATTGAATTATCTTATTTATTATGCCCCAGGTAAAAAAACTGACAAAAAACACGCGTTAAAGCTCTCAAAACTAACACTTTTTGTGTCGTTTAAACGCATTTTTCGTTTATCTATTCATCTGAAAAGCCGTTTTTCGGAATTTCGCAACGTGTTTTTCGATGAATGTGAACGATAATGAAAACGTTAATAAACGCATTATGAAACGATTCAGAAATAAAAACAGAGGGAAGATACAGAGGTTTGAATCATCAACTTTTATCCCACCATTCTTTCACTGTTCCTCTTCTGTCATATCCTCTTGACATTACAAACTAATGGAGAACAGTAAACTGAGTACTTAGCAGTTCGAAATAACGGAAATTTTAAATTTCAAGAAAAAATCGTTAGAAACGGCACAAAGAACGCGTTATCGAACTATCGTTGAAAGGGCCGTTTAAACGCGTTTTTTGCCGTTCAAAACTTTAGAATAACGCGTTCTTCAACGATGCGTTTGTTAACGATCGTTGGATTAACTCTTTTCTGGAGTTTTTGTTGAACGTGTTTTCGAACAACGTTAAAATGATATAACTTCGAATTTCTTTCTTTTTGTTGTCACGTTTAAAAACGACACGTTAAAATGCGTTTTTATATGAAATAACGGCGTTTCAACGATCATTTTAAGGTCGTTAGAAAACGCGTTCGATAAAAACAGCAGAAAACGGTTAATTCAACGATCGTTAACAAACACGTTGTCGAAGAACGCGTTATTCTAAAGTTCTGAACGATAAAAAAACCCGTTTAAACAGTTCTTTTAACTAACGCGTTTTTCGCGCCGTTTCTAACTCTTCTTTTTCGCCTGGGATGCTAGTTCTTTGCTGGTGGAAAATTCACTTAGAAATAGTGATGTGATTTGATCATTTTCTTCTATTTCAATTTCTGAGTTGTTATAATGTTCAGAGGCATCAACACATAAGATAACAAGTCAATCTTGAGTGAAAATGATGATCAAATCTTGTACGTTTTCCCAAGATTCTCGATTCTCGACAATTTGGTTATTCAGTCGGTAACTTGTTATATAATTGTACAGACAGCCACTATTGTTATGCTGAAGAATTGCTCTGTAATCAGTTATTAAACTTGATTGATGATTATGTTTTTGTTTTTGCTATGCCCGTATATTCTTGGTTAAGTGAAATTTGTTGGGGTTGCTGAAACATCAAGAGTCTTATAGGTTGATTAATAATGGAATTTAATTTTTCTTCAATACGTTACTGTTTGAAAATTTTCAATTGTAATTTCTGTCTGCTAATCGTATTGAGGAAATTTATGTTTGAATATTATAAACTTTGACGATGTATTACTTTTGGTATTTGCTCGAATCCATTCTTCGCCAGCGTAATGTATGGGCTCTAACTTCGTTAAAGCACCTATGATTCCTTAAGGGTATACCCGATTTTCTTGGTCGTGCCGAATGTACACCAATTGTTCGTTTAACACCTGATGATAATAAACCACCAATAACAAGATTAAAATGGCACAAAGTTATACTTGGGAATGATAACGAAGATGCTGGTGAACTACTGGCTGCATTTGAATTATTCTTGGTATTAAAGCAAATAGATGTTCAGTGTTGCTAGATTTTTGTTCTTCCGCTCTATATTTAGCTTCCAACACAATCAAGTGGGGTAAAAATGCCACCGGATCCGCCAAGACGTGGTTCGTTGTTTATTGTCCCAGCAGCAATTCGTCCGCTGTTAGTACGAACTGGTATCGAAGTATGTACAATATAAAATAAGAAACAACCTGTTTATGTACTATTTATTGTATGTTTTATAGATTTTATCTTGGGGTGTTCGAAATATGAAAACATATATGTTATCGGACGTGGAGAATCCACAAGTTGTATTTGAAGTAGGTGGTAGAGAAATTGAATCATCAATTGTCAGAAATTCTAAACAGGCCCCAAATTTTGATAACCCGTTATTATTTATTGACGCTGTAAGTATCAACGTTTGTTGGTTAACTAATAAATTTGAATAGAGTATAATATATAAATTATAGATGTTACCGAAAGAAGACATATATGCACCACCAATGAACATTAAAGTCAGAGATCATCGTTCGTTTGGACGTACTCCAGTTGTTGGCATACATGTAATCAAATCATTACAGAAATTTCGTATTGATCCAACAGCACCAGCATTGACTATAATGGAAACGACGCTCGGTAACGTTATATAAAATAAAAGCATACAAGAACTAGCAACTACTCTATTAATTTTTTATTGATTTAGAACCTAAAAAAGAGGCCCATCTAACTTCTCCGGGTGATTTTGTTCTTAATCTTGAGAAAAAAACAAAAAAGAAACTTAAAGACAAATCGTGCAGTACTCTAATCCCCGCCATCTATCCAAACATACATACCGATATTGTTTCATGACCTCGTTGTAAATATGAACCGGATTTACCCAAATCACCCATTGATGCATAATATTTTGACCACCAGTCAATATCTTCTTCAGCAACGGTTTTCTAGTTAAGTCAAGAATAAACGTACAAAGTTATTAACTATCTGATTGCAGGTAAAAGAAATCACTGAGAAGAGAAAGTGCGGGTTCTACAACATAGTACACTTCTCACCAACAAGCTTACGAACATAGTATCCATAAAAAAGATGTAGGATACAGTGGGCAACAAAATCATTGACCCACCTCTACCCTGTGACTTTGTTTCCCTTCCCATTAAGAAACCAGCTGCCAAGAGAGCTGTTCTACTCATTATTGTGTAGACCATAGTCATACGCTATCTGTACATAATTTGAGTTCTTAACTTTGTTTCATGTTTTATTAAAATAGTAAACAAATCACGAGTTTTAACCAAGTACGAATACCGAATAAATTTATATCGGACGAAAACTTCGAAATTATATTACAATATCCGATATATTTCCACCCTTTTACACGAACACTCTTCTATTATCGGCGCCAGGAGTAAAGGCGGGTGGATGTTTTCTGAATAACTTTTGATAGGAATGAGATCAAGATCTGCGATTTCCGCTGCAACATTGTGTGTTAGTTTTCTGAGAATGGAGCTAGTTTTCCAAAGATCCTCGAAAACCCGATCTTTGAAATTTTTTCAAAAGTTGTTTCCGATTGTGAAAAGTTCTGCTCAAGGCTTGACTACCGAGCAGCGAAAATCGCAGATCTTTATCTCATTCCTATCAAAAGTTATTCAAAAAACATCCACCTGCCTTGACTTCTGG